TTTCCACACAAAGTATTTTCAAGCTGAACTCCGGGTAGATAAAAAAAAAAAAGAAGCTGTTTATGTAGTTCGGCATGCAATCAAATTTTACTTTAAATGCAGCTAGTGTAAGGCTGGGTTCACACCTAGGCGTATCGGATATGCGCGTTCCGTGACGCGCGTTTTTACCGTGATTCACGGTAATAAAAAAACCGACGAACGCGCGTTTCCGAGGGCTACTTGGCTGTATCCCAATGGAAACGCGCGACAAAAACGCCCCAAAGAAGCTCCTGTACTTCTTTGGGCGTAGGGCGTTTTGTAGCGCGTTCATACGGCCTGTAATACGCACCAGGTGTGAACCATACCCATAGGAAATAATGGGATTTCGGTGTTTGAGCGTTTTGCAGAGCGTAGGAACGAGCTACAAAACGCCCAGGTGTGAACCGGGCCTTAGTATATGAATTGGTCTTACAATCAGCTTCCCCAGCACATCAGATTTGAGACAGGGAGTGGCTGCTCTTGGAGCCAATCAGGCTTCACTGCATGGACATGTGCTGGCATTAAACACTGGACAGGAGGAGAGAGCAGAGTAAGCAAATGGGTGACCTTGTCTTGTATCCTGCTGGTTTACCGTCCAATCAGCATGCTTGGGGTGTGATTTTGGCCAAGCTGTCTTGAAGGACCAGGACCTTGCTGTGTGATCTCTCTTCTTCAATACAAGTTAGTTACTGCTCAGTCACCAGCCGGCCTTGGCCTGCTGATTGGACATTGAAGTGGAATCGGTAAACTGATGAGATCGTAATCCTGTTCACTCTGCTCTTTCTTCCTGTCGGCAAGCTCCCACTGTTGGAGTGACAACACTTGGCAGTAGAGTTAAGGTCCCCACACACCTTGCGATAATCGTACGAAAATACGAAATCCCGCGATCGTACAATTATCGTAAGGTGTGTGGAAGCCGTGCGACCTCTACTACTGTAAGGTCGCACGACTTTAAACTTACGAACATGTTCGAAAACCCGCTGAGCATCGTACGACGTTCGGCGGGTGTGTAGCATGTTCGTACGATAAAAGCCTTACGGGCCGGTGTGCGCAAGCGCACACTGCCCGTTCGGCATTGCGGTCATCGGAAGCCCGCCCCTCAGGGGGGTGCGGTTTGCGATCATCGCATGTACGATCTGCCTGTCCGAGATAGGCAGATCGTACGTTTTTTTAAGTACCTTACAACCATCGCAAGACAAAAGTCATACAATGGTTGTAAGGTGTGTGCCCAGCCTTAGACTGACCCACGCTGCTGGCCCTACAGATTCTTTGACTTCTACTCCTGCCAGTCAACAATCCGATGTGAGAGTCTCTATTGGCCATCGCCAGTCACTCACTGGTTGGAGCTCTGAACTGGAGCAGATTTTGGGCCCTCCGTATACAGGGCATGGCTGGGATTGGGAGCCTGTTGGGCAGACGGGAAGCCATGTTTTATGGATCCGCGAAAACCTTTTATTCAGGACAGGGTCCCGTTAATGAAGGGGCTTTCATGCACCACTAAGTCTACAATTTTGGGTGCATACTTAGTTTTCTTCTTCTGGACCCCCTGACAGGTTCACTTTGAGGAATTTTTGGACACAGCTGATCCAGAAAGAGAACTGACCTGTCCAAAAAAAAATACAGATCGAAGGCAATGGACTTGTCAGCAGTATTGACTGTGGTCAGCCTGCACCATGCCTTGTTCTGTCTTGGGGTGGAGGCGGCCATCTTGGTAGAGGCAGGGCATTGCTTCCTCATGTCAGAGCTGCCCAACAATGACTGCTGATCTGATTACTGGTCGGGTGATGAGTAATAAGCAGGAGAGGAGAAGGCAAAACACATCCACAGAATGAACGAGGTAAAAGCAGGGAGATTCGTGCATTACAGCTCTTCAGGTACAGCTTCCTTAGCAGCAAGGAGAACAGTGGGCAGCCACAGTAGTGTGATCACCAAATCTCACTGCAGATCTCCTGAGACTACCAAGCTTGGACGCAGGGAGATCCGTGCACTGCAGGTCCTCAGGTACGACTTCCTCTCCAGCAAGGAGCACAGTGATCAGCACAGTAGTGGCATCACCAAATCTGATGAGACTAGCAATCCGTAGTGCCTTAGATCTCACACTGCAGATATACAGCTATGAGGCTGTCCGCACACTCACATACTAGGAAGTCCTTTTTAGGAGGAATTCCAGACAAAAAGACGATTTTCGGTCAGCTTCTTACACACAATTAACATTTTTTAATTGTTCTGCAAAACTTCACTTTATCAGTTCGGGTCCACGTATTAGATTTTATAACCTTTCGCATCCCCCCAAGCTTTCTGCTCGATTATAAGATCTGATGCTAATGTTATACCCTGTTATAAAACACTACATACTATGCCGGCGCTATCTAAACAGGACGTGATATTATTTTCCTGTCCGCACAGTAGAGCGACTACAATCTTGTCTCATCTGTTTCACCTTATCGTGTACATCTCGTGTTTCCATTCCACATCCAGCAGCAGCAGCACCCC